GGGGCTGGGGGCAGGAGGTGCGGGGAACGACCGGCCGACGCAGCAAGGGGACCATGACGGCGACGGCATGCACGCGCACCCGTCTCTGGCTGGTGGCTCGCGGATTCCGGAAGGAGGTGCGCAAACTGCGACCGCGAACGGCAGCGCCGCCGCCAGCGCCTGCTCCTCCTCACCTCGGACCGGATGTCGGACACCAACGCCCCCCCCCTTCCCCCCCGCGGGCTCCGGCGGGCCGGGAGCCCCTCCTCGGCGGGGAGTAGCGCGGCGATACCCCGCCGCCGGCGCAAGGGGTATAGCGCACGCCCTGCGACCAGGAGAGTGTGTGATCCAGGGCGGCCCGTCGTGCGACGGGGCATGCAACACACACGGCCCCGACAAGTGAAAACACACACATACACACACACACACACTGTCTCTCACAGACACACACACAGAAACAAGTGTGCCGCGTCGACAAGAACCTCGCAAGAGAGCGAGAGAGAGAGAGAGACGCCGTGATATGAGAGAGAGCGCGTGGCGACGGTGGCGCCGACAGCGATGGCCGCCCTGTTGCTAAAAGCTAAATGCAGCGTGCTTGCACACCCCTCCTTGTCTCTCTCCCTCCCCTCCCTCTCTCTCGGAGGAGCGCGGGCCGTTGGTTGCGACAAGCCACATCGCCGTGCTCCATTTTCAGCGCTCGCCCCGCGACTAACCCGCGACAACGACGGGGCCGGGGCCGTTGGAGCGCCGCCGGAGAGGGAGGAGCGGGGAAGGCGGCGTCCAGGGTGTTCGCGCGCGCGCGCCCTCGCAAGCGGCTCCAGCAACGCCGGCCTCGGCCTCGACGGCGAGGTGGAAGTCCCGTGCCGAACGGGACCGACCAGCGTCCCGCTACGCTCCCGCGCGCCCGCCCGCGCGCACTGGAGTGGAGACCTCCGCGAGGACGGCGATGCGGCACGGGCACGCGGCGCGGGGGCCGCGCCGTGTCGCCAACCAGGTGGCCGAGGCCAGCGGCGAGGTCGCCACCATCAGCTGCTGCGCCTTGAGCCGAGACCGTGCCGTGCCGCGAGCCGCGACGGCAAGCATTGACGAAACGTCGCGTCCACGACCTCCCCCCCGGCCAAGAAGAGCGCCGGCCTCTAGCCCCCCCCCCCTTCCCACCACCGCGGCCGCCACAACCCCACCTGGTATCTAGCGGATAAGCACGATATACTACTAGAGATAAGATGAGCAGGCCGAGCCCTTTTTGTCCGAAAATAAAACGAACGCCATGGAAAAGAGCGAGCGGAAGGCGGCGGGGAGGGGATTATATACTAGTTTATCACTAGCCGCTATCCATCCACCAAACCCGCGCAGGCCTGAGCACTGCACCGCGCTGCAAAGTCGAACCGCGTGCATGCAGCACGAGCACCGCACTGTGCAGCCGTGGCATGGCAACGCTATCGCCCGCGCCGCCGCCTGAGTCACCGCGAAGTGCATGTGCACCATGAGCAAGCGCAGTGAGACACGACATGTGTGACCAATCAGATCAAATCAGATGATATTTTTGTAGTCAACTTAACTTTTTCGTCCAAACGTTACGATTTTTTATCGCTTTTTGTTCAATTCTTTCACGATTTCATTTTTCTTTCCATTTTGTCTAACACTAGGGTTGAAAGCCTTGGAAAGTTTCCGGAAAATTTCAGGAAAATTTCAGGAAAATTTCTAGAAAAGACGGAAAATTTCCGTGAAAAAAATGAAAAATTTCCCAGATTTTATAAAGTTTTCCGTTATTTTCCGTAAATTTTCGGAAGGTTTTCGGAAATTTTCCGGATAGTTTGGGAAATTTCCGACCCTAACTAACACCTCTGGCCGGAGACTTACTTTTGTTCCGCTGAACGCCGTCGGGTCGGGGTGCGACCACAGGAACAGCTCGAGGGGCGCCGACTTGACGACGCCGTCAGACTCCTCGTCGTCGTCCTCGAGGCCCGAGCTGGCGCTGTCGGCGCTGTCCGGGCAGGACGTCGGCGGGCTGGCCGCCGCAGCCGTCACGGGGATGACGGTGCTGACGGCGACGTTGTTGTTGGCGACGACGGCCGTCTGCGAGCCGATGACGGCGAAGCCCGCCACGGTCGCGGTGGTGTTGTTGACGGCGGCCGCCTCGACGGTGGTCGTGATGCCATTGTGGCTGGACAGAGAGGGAGGGGGCACAAAGTCAGTACAGTGCTCAGCCACGGCGATGACGACGACGACCTGTCCGGGGAACACCGCGCGCGTTCCGTGAGGACACCAGCGCGGAAAGTCCAGGCTTTGTGGGAGGCAGAAGGGGAAAGGGGGGTGGGGAGGTCCTTGTCCCGATTCCATTAAAAAGGCGGCGCCTCTCGCCGACCAAGGCGAGAAACCACGTCACGGTGGAGTACAGGGAGCGCCCGTATCTTCTGAGTACCGCCCACCCCGCCCCGCCCCGCCAACCTCGGCACCGTCAGTCACAAGTCGCATGACGCGGGTGCCGGCGCGACACGGTAGGTACGCCCTGGGTACGCCCGACACGGGCTGGCGACAGCGTATACCGCCACCGTATGGCACAATACATGCCACTGGTGCTGGTAAGTACGTCCTGCCCTGGGTACGCCCATGCCCTGGGTACGTCCATGCCCTGGGTACGCCCATGCCCTGGGTACGCCCCATACGGGGCTGGCGACAGTGTCCCACCGCCGCATGGTAACACACCGTCACAACACACGACGCTGGTGCTGGTAACGTCCCTAAGGTACGTCCTGCCCCCTGGGTACGCTCCACGACGGGGCTGCCGACGACGGCGAGAGCGTCACCGCCGCGCCGCACCTGTGAACCTTGGCGCCGGGCCGGGCGGGGCGGGGCGGAGTGGCGCTATCGGCCGCCGTCACGTCGCTCTGCGCGCACAGAGCGGACGTCGGCAAGGCAAAGTCAAAGTCTGGACGCCCCGGCCCGGCCCGCCCCGCCGACGTGTTCCCGGCCCAACTTCCCGCGCCGCAGCCCGAGTCACGCCGCCATGCCGCGCCGCTATGGGTATATGGCGGCGGTGGTATCACACGGTCGTGTCGCAACGGGAAGGAAAATGACGATAAAATAAGAAAAAGTGAAAAAGAAAAAAAGAGAAAAGAAATGAAACGTGTGATATATATATATGAAGGATACGAGGCGGGCCAACCGAAACGCCGTCAACCACGGCCGCCGCCGCCGCGCTGCCGCGGGGGATCAGATCCGAGTGTCGACCAATTTGGGATAGGAGGGAGGGGGGGGGGACACGCGAGCTGGGCCAGCCGCGCGAAACTCGCGAAACACCCTCGCCACCACCCTCCCCCTCCCATTCTCCTTTCCTTTTTCGTGTGCTACTTCCGGGAGGTATGGCCGTCGGCCGGCAAGCCGGCGTCGGAGACCACCACCACCACCACCACCACCACCACCACGGCATCAAATGAAGTGAACCCCCCCCCCTTCCCAACTCCCTCCACCTTCTCTCCTAGTTATGCCCAAGGGGTGCCGCCCCAGACACGATCGCCGACCAGCACTAACCGGCGCACGGTGGATTTGAGGGATCGAGGATGTGGCCCGGTTCCCGGGGGTCTGTCGGGACAGAATATCCGGAACCGGGAGAGTTCGGCGACGGTCGGCCTGCCATCGACCGGGTAGGGGATCAGGGGGGGACGCCGCCGCCGAGGCTTATTGCGCAACCAAAACCGTCACTACTTGGCTTCGGCGTGGCCGCGAGCGGCCGCGTCGCCCCAGCCAATCCTTGCGAAAAGTGTAAAATATGGGCGGTTTGTCTTCGGCAGGCGGGGGGGCCTTGGCCTCGTCGGGCGCCCCGCTCGGCACAGGAGGGAGAGGGGGTCGAGGACGCCGACGAGGGGGAGGATGTTCTCTAGGCGCCGTCGGGAGCAGCCAGCAGCGGCTTTTGTAGGGCGCCGCAGCCGTACCCACCGACCTCCGCGACGTCGTGGCAGTCGGCCGGCCGCGCGGGACGAAGCGGGGCGGGGCCGACCCCCCGTCGACTTGCGAATTTCGTGCTCGACGTTTCGTTACGTCACAGTCCGCCGCATTACCGACACCCGCGCCTGTACACCCCTCCCCCCCGTGCCACCCTCCCCCCTCGGCAACCCACTTTTCTACACACACAGACCACCACCACCACCACCGGGCTTCGCCGGGGGGGAAAGGAGTAAAGAACACAGACAGACTCGCCGCTGCCCGTTCGGTCGGCCCGCCTGCCTGCCTGCCAGGCTGGCTGGGGGTACTTTCTCTAGCACCTCATCACGTCCTCCTCGACTACGAACAGAGCACACGGGCCGGACAGGCCCGACGCCGACGGACGCCCGCCATGCCGCCTAGCAGCACCAGACGGCCGCCTAGTGTAGCCTCCCCGAGCTGGGCTGCCCCCCTCCCCCTCCAAGAGCACGCCACGCACAGTGCTCTCGATTCATGATTCTCTCACTGCCTCTCCCTCTCACTCTCTCCCTCACTGCCTCTCTCTCTAGCTCTCACACACACGCGAGTGTAATCTGAGTCAGCGCCGTTAAAGAGACGGCAAACGGGGAGGGAGGGTATGGGGGGGCTTAGCAGACCAAAGGGTAGGGTCCCCAGCACGCGAACGGACTTCGCCCCTACCGCCCCGCCCGCCTTCCCCCTCCCTCCAGAGCAAGTCTCCAACATGTACACCCCCACGCACACCCGACTTTAGACAGGGGGACAAGAGCAGCTTCGTGAGTGAGTACGAACGAAGGAGCTGCACCCACCTCGACGACGACGAAGAGGCGGGACGACACGGCAACCCTACTTGAGACATCGCATCACGACGACGACGACGTCGTCCTCGTCGAGTGCAAGAAGGCACTCCACTTTGATACAGGCATAATCACCGGGACACGCTGCTATGGTGCAGTGATGAGGCGCTGCCCTTTGAGATGTACTGTATAGTACTACTTGCGCCACAGTCCAGAGTCGGGCGGACGGGACGGACGGGTGCTTCTGCTCAAGGGGCCGCCGAAAGTGCAGGTGCAAAGGTTCGTACAACAGCACCCCCGCCCGCCCTCCTCCCCCCAGGCTCGCCGATCAGAGGGCGGCGCAAGACTGTCATACCCACCGCGTCCACGTCAACCTCCTCCAGATCTCTCGATGACTCTGTTCATCTTCATCATTAGGACGAGGGGTATACAAAGGCTGTACCTGCCTCATGCTTCGAAGGAGGTGAAAGAGGAACCTGAGAGAGAAAAGGGGGGAAAGGAGGAAGGGGGCGCTCACGTCCCGCTTACTACACTACACAACCAACCCCCTGGAGGGCAACACGGCGGTCTGGAGGTCTGGAGGAGGTAGGTGGAGGAGGGCAACGCGATGAGCCGTTCCGGGACGTCCTGACCCCTTCTGGCAGCTCGCCGACCAGAGAAGAGCGGGTTCCTGCACATCGAGGATGCAGATTTCGGAAACAGGTTCCGCGTCTTCTTTTTTTGGTTTTATTTTTATTAACATTTTATTTTACTCCATACCCCGCCCTTCTCCTCCCGTGCCCCTCCTT